CTGGGCCCCAGCCTGGGTGGAACCCTGGGCCTGGCTGGTCCCCCTTCCTCACCTGGTTTGCCTTCCTAGACAGACAGCAGGGGGGTCAGGAGCAGCACCACAGGGCAGAAGGCTGGGTCTGGGGGCTAGTGGCTGGGCCTGGTCAGAGCGGCGGGCAGAGCCCTGGGCCTCGCAGTGTCTGTGAGCCATCACGGTGTCCCGCAGAGTGAAACTGACCGACAGCCCGCTACTCGGTTGCTGCTTGCTCCGTGGTAAGGGGCAGTTCCCAGGCCAAGTGGCAGAAGTCTGATTTGGATCACCAAAACAGACTCCTGGCCCCTCGATCAACTCTCAGGCAAGCTAGTCTGCAGACCCTGCGAATGAGAGGAGTGGGGGGGGCATCCCCTTGAGGGAGGACCCCTTTTCCTTGCCAAGCCGATGTGCCACCTGGGCACTGGCTGTGACCTAATGCTGGTCTGAGGAGACCCAACGTGTCCCTGTGGCCACCGGTCAGATTCAGAGCAGATGGCAGCCAGGCACCCAAGGGGGGCTGAGCCCAGTGGGTCCCCGCCCCGGCCAGTAGTAATCTCTCTGGTTCGGGAGCTCATGCTGGGAATCATCACCACAGCCCACCAAGCAGGCTCTCGCCCCGTGGTGTGGGGGTCACCTACGGGCCATCTGCTGGCAGAGCGAGGACACACACCCAACAGGAACGTCTCAGCGCCTGGCAGCCTCGCCCCCAGGATGTTGCCCTACATCACAGACCACGTGTCTGAGGCAGGGCCCCCGCAGTGCAGGCCCCAGGGCCTGGGACGGGCTCCCTCCCTGGGGGAAGTGGCAATGGGGCCTGCTGGGGCTCCAGGGAAGAGCGGGGCACCAACAGCTGAGGGGAGAGAGCCGACCTAGTTGGGGCTACTCTGGGTTTGGGACAGAGAAGTAATGTCGCTGACTTGGGCTGGGGGACCTCTGCTTGCTGGGGTGCAGAGCCCGACCATGGGTCCTCAGCCGAATCCGAGGGCTGAGACCAGTAAACCCACCTCCCAAGTTTCTGGATGGCTCCAAGGATCAGTCAGGGAGGAGAAGTGGGGCCGGCAGAGGGGGATTCCCCGAGCCCACCTCCTTACCTCAGTCCCAGGGGCCGATGCCTCCCCGCGCAGGAAGCCTGAGCCCTGAGATTAGAAGCCCCCGGGGGCCCTGTCACCAGGGCACTGGGGGGTGGAGCTGTGGCTACAGAGATAGCCAGGGGTGGGGGTAGGAAGCCGAGGGGCCTTGCGTCCATCCCAGGCTGGAGTGAACCTGCCTCCCTGTCTTCGCTTCCCTGGGAGCGGGGAGCCCCCAGGAGCCCAGGCACCCACCGAGCCTCCTCTCTCCCTGCAGTCTTCTGCGCGGGGGTCAGCCTGGCCGGGCTCCTAATTCTGGGGGCGATGTTCTGCATGGCAGCCACTGTGCGCGAGGCTAAGGGACGCATGGCCGCGGTGAGACCCTGTGCCCCCTGGGGCCCTGGGGCTGGGGGGCTGCGAATTGGATGGGGTGGGCGCCATCTTCTGTGTCCACATGGAAATGGGGCAGTTTCCACCCAGTGCTGTCCTCCCTGGGCATCGGTGGTCCCAAGGGGTGGCTGGGGGCTGGGGAACCAGTTGGTTTTACACCCCGTCCGGGACACAGCCCCCAAATGCCCAGAGCTTCCTCCACCCATCACCCCAAAGCAGCCTTGGCCCAGCGTTCCTGATCACCCCGCCCTCCTCCTCAGCTGCTCCAAGTCCCTGCACCCAGGTCCCAGAGGCCCCTCAACCCATAGCTGTATCCACCCCCTAACCTCTTCCCCACAGAGAAAGCAGCCCCCCAGCCAGCCCGAAGGCCAGCCCAGGGTCCTGCCAGCACCAGCAAACCCCCAAGGCCTCTTGGTCCCAACCCCTCTTTCTCTCCTGAACCCCCTCCCTGGCTTAGACCTCTGGGTCTCACACCATGGGGCCCATACTCCTGTCCTTGACCCCAGGTCAAGTCCAGCCTTCCCGTGGGCACCTCAGTCACCCTCTGCAGACCCTCCTCAGGAGCCCAGCTGTGGTCCATGGAGCCAGAGACCCCTGGGACTGAGGCTAGGCCCCACTGGGGGTCCCAGGGGCTGGGACCTCGCGACTCTGTCTTGGAATGGTCCCAGGGGTAGCTGCTGCTTCGAGCCAGCCCACCCAACGGAGCAGACCAAGGCCGCGCCAGCCAGGAGCAGGCTTCTGTTCTCCAGCAGGCATGGGAGGGCCCGGTGGGTCACAGTGCAGTGGGGTGGGGTGGGGGCAGGGGGGCGGAGAAGATGACAGGGCAGATGGGATGACCAGAGACAAGTGGCCAGCAGAGGACTCCGGGCCCATGCCCTGTGGGTGGGGGCGGGGGGCATGGGTGAAGAGGAGGTCGTGGGTGGGCAAACCCAGACCATCTGGGCGCGTGTGCAGTCCCCAGGGGGTACCAAGCCCGGTCTGTGGGCGAGGGATCCCGAGTCCCAGGCTGGCAGCAGGTCTTCCCAAGCTCCCTCACCCCGGCCCCCCTGCACCATGGTCTGTGGGGAGACTCAGGGGCTGGGCTGGGAGGCCGGAGGGGGTCTGCTGGACCTCCAGGTGGGTCCTGACCCTCAACCTGATGGCAGCCCCATACAGTCGGTGGATGCCTGTGTGTGTGTCTGTCTGTCTGCGTTTGTGACTGCTATCAGGTGTGGCTGGCTGGGTGTTGGCGTGGTTCATGTGTGTGCATGTGGGCACATGTGTCCATCTCTGTGCATGTCAGCACCTATGAGCGGGCAGCGGAAACATTTCCCCGACATGACTG